ACTGTACAGCAAGAACCCTCAGCAAACTCTGTAAACTGGCTGGAGTGATACTTCGGTTTTGTTTAAGATGTAACTCGGTACAAAAGTTGCAATCACAAAGTACAATAAATCTTACAAATTTTATAAAGTTGATAAAGTTCTACAACTTCAGTACATATCCAAATTTTACCAGTAGTACTGTACTAACCAGTTTAGCATCTCAAAACAATTATTTTGGTGAGCTTAAATTATATTAGGATGTGAACAACCTATGGTTAAAAATCTGTAAACATCTTCAGCATTAACTACCACAAAATATTAGGAGAAATTCAAATGTACAAATTATTCAAACTTTAAGATGATTATGCCATAGCTTCTTCCTCATAAAGATTTTGACTGGCCTCTCATAATATTCATCTTTACAGACAATGTGCCTCTAAAATACCACTTATTTGTGCGTATTACTGTAACAACATGTAGAAGCCAAAAATCTTCACAAACAATTTACCTACAGTATTCTTCACAAAGACGGACAAAGTATCAGTCTCGATTATAGATCAGAGCTCAATCTGGCAGTCCTTATGGCAACTCAGCATCCCAGTTGTCATTAGCTGTATGATATCTGCATACAAATTACAGCACTTTACATAAGACTTGCTTTGACTAGCAACAAAATATCAGTCTGCCCTGAAACCCAGTCCATGGCCTTTTCAATTACCTGGCATCCAAGTTGTCATCAGCCATCTTTGGTTGCTAGGGAGATAAGGGGATAGGCTCTTTTCTGTCACTAATCACTGGATGTTTGAGATAATCACAATCTAAAAGAATCACGTTGGAATCAAGAGTGGATCAGCTCTTACTATTAATATAGTTTGATATGCATGCATAAATATAAATTCAAAGAAAGTTTTTTTAATTCATAATTTAATAATCTCTCCTGCAAAATTTTTCTCTGATCATAGAAATAAAATGCATACAAATACAGGTTCAGCGGAATCCCTCTTTAAACTACTTTAATATATATGACATTGTAAAGCGGGCAGTTATAACCGTACAGTGTAATCATATTCAGTGCAGTATTAAATTTTCTCTGATAAAGTAGCTGTATCTTTATTCATACCAAATCAATAGTTTTTCATCATTTTAAAAATGCCAAATATAAACTAGTATTCAATAAAGCTACTGAAGAAAATTGCAGGGTGTTTGATGCCAGTGATGTTTTTTGGTAGAGAAATGCTGAGAACATTCAAGTACTAAATTGTGTTAGATGTGACAAACAGATCACATTCTCCAGATCCTGACAGGGGGATATGTAGTAAACTAATTAAGAGAGTACAACAAAAAATAAGGGCAGATGCCAAATCACAGAATGCATGGTTGTGTTCAGTGTCCACATCATTGTGATGGACATACTCCTTTTCAGAGTTCTTTAACATGTAAACATTTTTTTTTGCTTATTAATTAAAATTTATCTTAATTTATCTTATGTAAACATCACCTTTTGGCACTTAATTGTCTAGTTGTTGCCACAGTTTATTATGACAGCTACAAACAGCTATTTTTAGTGGTTATTTAAGTTAAAACTGTTCAATGAATGACAACACTGATATAGTGCCAAAGCATAATCAGGTTTATTGCAGACCTTTTTTGTTCACATATTGATATCATATAAGGAGACTATATATATATTATCAGCAAAAGTTGGTAATTTCCTTCAGGATTAAGAAGTTTAGGAGGATGGGTTTTAGGGAATATTTGAGAATGGTCCACAGCCAAAGTTAGGGGATGTGGGACTCTGAAGAAACTGGACTAGGCACTCTTCTTTTTTAAGTAGAAGGAAGGGTAGCTAAGGACTAGTATATCTGTCATGTCTTATAAAATTGCATGTACAACCAACATAATGGAGCTGATGCCATAATCTCAAAGATTTTAAAACTTAAAACTAACTATTAGTAAGTGGAGCTCATACAAACTGCAACTGTAGCTTTAAAGGTTTACAACTTAAAACTAGGAAATTGAAATCATACTTTTTGCACAAACATAATAAAACTCTACCTTTAAAGATTTACAACGCAACTTAGTCAAACTCACAATGTCTGTAAAAACTAACTACAACTGTAGCTTAAAAGGTTTACAACTTAAAACAAGTGGGTCAAACTCACACTGTACACATGAAAAGAATGATCAATTATCATATTAAAATGTATAATTATAATTTAAATCTAGTAATTGATCATTCAACAGACAAAAATACAGATAAAGACTAGATCACCAGCCCATCTACACTGCATATAACCTGTTGTTGACATTGACAAATATATCATGTTATCACACCTACTGCAATGTCGCTGTAATAGGGTCATAAATATTTGAGTACTTTTTGTCAACACTCACTATAAAAGCAGGCGCACAGCACTTCTGGGTGCTGTCAGGTTTTTTCTCTTCGAAATGTAATAAGGTAAGACACGTAGAACACTTTGGATATGTACATATTTAGTTGTTTATTTATTTTGATATAAAAGATTTGTAAACTGTCGTCACCTATTAGTAATTCATTAAGTCAGAAGATATTAGTATAAAGTCATCTTTTTTATATCAATATCAATATCAATATCAATATCAATATATATATATATATATATATATATATATATATATATATATATATATATATATAGTCGATATGTACATTATCCTTCTAGACAATTGCTTTCCTGGCCGCCAAGTTACTGTGTACTCAAACTTTAAGTTGCCGAATGTTGAGTAAGTACTATAGCTATATATTTAATTTCATAGTTTTAGTCATATTGTCGATATTTGCGTGTTCGTATCGCTCTCTCTCTTTGTCTTTTTGTTCTTTATTTTGCATTTGTGAGTACACTTAATGTAATATTTATTATTATTATTATTATTAATATCTATTTTACTTAATTTTTTTTAAGTTTCACCACATCAGAAAACACCTCAGAACTCACCTCAGAATTCACCCCAGAATTTACCTTAAAATTCACTATAGATAGCTTCAAAAAATGTGCGTAAACAATAAAGACGAAATCTAAAGATTCGTTTTTGAGTTACTGACTGATACACAGCAACATTACCAGCAGTGCTCAGTGAACCTAACTCACGCATCCTGCATCACAAAATGCAAAATAAATAAATAAATAATAATAATAATAAATAAATAAATAAAATAATAATTAAAAAAGTAACAAGGCAGCAAATCTGTCAAATGTACAGACATAAAAACAAAATTATAGCTTATCTACTACACATAACATCAAAAATGTATTACTAAGAATGTACAACCAAAATGGCCAAAATCAGACCATAAAGAAGATTCAATCTGAGATACAAAGTTCCTGTAAACTGAAGGTTTAATCTTTCCACAGTGGTTTAATATGGTTTCAAACATAAATAGTCATGAAATCAGCTCTTGAAAACAGGCCAGAGACCAAACTTGTAGCTTCTGCTATAAGTGGTAAAGCATGCAGAGACTATGCAGGTCAATTATATATAATTATAAGCTATATAAATACTATCCAATCAGAATTTGTGGCATGATGTCGCTCATTCGCTTGTCCTATGAATGTGTATGTAAAACACACTGCCTATTTATAAACTATGATTGGCTTCCATGATCTGCAGTTATACAAGTGCCCTAAATGTTCAAAACAAAAGTTATATATCAGAAGTGAGTGTACATACTAGTACATATACCTTAATTTTCAGTATCTCTGATCTAAACAATGTCCATCTTCAAGTAATCGGATTCCAAGATGGCCATAAACTCTTGGCGAAGCTCTGTGTAGGAGCGGTATGTGCACGGAAGCTCTATCAGTGGTCCACAGGTGTGGGCCTGTGGTGCCCTGGCCAAACCAACCATACGGTTGAAGGAGATATCAATGTGGGAGGTGCAAATCAGATCTGCTCCAGTGAAATACCTCAGAAATTTCTTGAGCATGGCATTATCCAGGCCTTTGATAAACTGCTTGAGATATCCAAAGGCATCAGATTGTTCTTTGTTTGCAGGCGTGCAGTTCAGAAGGTTAATAACCTTCCTGGCAGTTGGTGTTTTGTTTTCGTACATCAGTCGTAGCTTTTGCACATCAGGGAAGAGCATCTGCAACTGTCCACAGACAGTTTCAGCCATTGCATCCAGTGCATATTTTGGTTCCTGAATTAGTTCCTTGTGTGCCATTCGCAGAACTGTGTTTCGCATGTGTTCCTTTTTGGGGATTGAATTGCAACCCACGCGAGAGAGCAAATCCAGCAAATCATCTTGTTCATCTTCGTCAAGGACTTCCCCACACAAAGCCTTGTCAACAACCTTGCGATCAGCCTCTGGGAGATACATGCGAAATGACTGCAGTAGCATATCTGATGAAACACTTCTCTCTCCGAAGATGACAGCAACCGAAAAGGCCAGTGATAACTGCAGTGGGTAGACACCACAGTCGATGTAGCCTTTCAAAAGGATCCTACCCACTGCCTTCCACTCGTCTTGACCATACTTGGGGGAAAGCAATGGCACCCTCTCATATTCACCACATGCCGAAGTGAAGAACTCCTTCCAAAATGCACAGTATGCATCTCTTGACAGTCCTTGACCATCAGCTCCCTTCTCTCCAATGAAGGTAACCATTAGCTTCATATCTATAATGGTGGGCTCCATGAACAGCGACAACATGTCTTGCTGTATGGTGGAACGGTGAAGAGCCACAATAGTAGTTTTTGGCTGTGACCTAACTGGTGTATGCCAAAGAGGTGCTGCGTTTGTAGGAGGCGACAAAGGGGATGGAGTTGGCAAAGAAGGTATCACTGCAACACATAAGACATGCTTTACATCAATTCAGATTAATTTGCAGTCATGCCAGTTGTAATAAAAACAACTTGCAAATGGTACAAAACCTTTAATCACATAGATGATTTTGTGTGATTCTAGAGTTGATTCATTGTGCAATTAGTTTTACACATCAGATGATACTGCACATTACTAGTATTCATCTTGCTATGATATTTTTGTTCTCCTACTACTCTATTTGAGACAGTTGTATTTTACAGTGTTGCTTGACACTGTGTTTCACAGCATACATGTACATGTTTTATTTAAATGCTCAAAAAGCAATACCTTTGTACTGTACTATATAATAATTTGTTGTATCATCTTGGATGATAAGGCAAAACTTGGGTATTACATTGTGCTTGTAATGAGTGATTTCTCATTGTTTTAATGTGATATATTAATTGTACTGGTAGATCAAGAAGTACAAAACTATTTGTAATTTAGGGAAAATTTAGACTGTAATTTTTAGGTTTCAGGTTTTGCCAACTAATGGCTGCTTCTCACATAAAGATGAAAAGAGACCCCAAGTGTAGTACCTAGCCATAATGTAAAAGCATAAGTGTTCATAGTTTTTGAAAATAGACACAAACATTTTTTTCACAGCAAATTAAAATTTTTACATAATTATGACCCATTCAACCTTGAAATAAAGGTCAAAGGTCGAATCCAAGGGCACTAATGAAAACTTCACATAAAACTTTGGGAAAGACTTCTATTGTAACTTTTTCCAAAATTCCTATGGTTTGGCTGGTATTGAGCATTTAATTTTCAAATATTTTGACAAGGGTGTATTGTGATGATCGCATGCCAAGGCAAAGAACCTGCAGCAGAGACAAAAATAGTGAGGGTCAAGTTGAGATTATATATGTGATCTAAGTCCAAAAGATGGGGACACAGGCCCTTGAAGTCTAGGAGGATAAATGGTAACAGCGGCTTGTATCCACCAATGTTATGCAGAGCCTGCGGAGTGAAGAAAGCCATACAAGACGGCTGGGTTAGGATTAAAACCATTAGTACTGCCCGTGCTCATGCTGGGAGTTCTAATAATACCTGTGTGTATGTGCATGATCATGAAAAATCTACCTGGGTGCATGTAGAGAGGGTATGACAGTCCTCCTTGTGGACAACCTGCCCTTGGGGTAGGGCCCTCAGCTTTCTTGGTAAACACTGGTGGGGTTTCCCCAAATATTATACACATTATCTGTATTAAACCAAGCAGGTCTGACTGTGGCTGGAATAATTGAATTATCTTGCTCGAAAAGAAATTTATGATTAATTAAACTGAATCTTTATAATTAAAATAAAACAATTAAGATTAAAACAACATTATAAAAAGTCCACAACATCACCAAAAATACTTAATTCTGACAACTTTCAGTTCATTGCTTCACTATCATAACCTTAGCACTGACATAAATATTCTATTTTTCAGTTCATTATAATTGAGTTTACTAAAAAAAAAAAGACAGCTTCGTACATGTCTCCACTCAAAAAGAAATGGAAGATACACTCTTCCATTAGCATCTACATATTGCCCTGGTTTGATCTGCATAGTTGCTGTTGGCTTCACATTCACCACTGGTGGGTTATATGGATGGGTCTCCAACAGCCACACACAAACTGGTATATTATAGATAGTACCTTAATATAATTGAGGAGAATTAGGACAGGTTCGCTATATGCAATTATGTTTATAACTTGGAAACAAGGCAGCAAAGCTGTCAAATGTACAGACAAAAAACAGAAAATAAAGATGCAAAAAAGGTCATTTTGTCAATTTTGATGCAATAATAAATAATGCTTATAATAGCACTGTCAGTCAACACTGAATTTTAATCATGCACAACAGGTAACATGGTCAATAACAGGAGCGGACCCTGAGATAATTTCTGACAGTATTCCAAAGTATCTATGTTGATCCATCCTCCATTTTGATGGTCTTCCAACAGAAAAAAAAGATACCAGTCAATATAAACTTAATAACCTGACTGTCTTCCAGAAGACAGAGAAGATGGTCTCAATCCACCCCTTCAATAAGATTACAGTTTCAGGACCAAGAGAGACCAAAGTCACATGATGAAAGTCTCAATATTTGAAAAATGATGACAGTGCATAAAATAATATTACATAATATTTAAAGACATAAAAAACAATACAACTGCTAATGTGGAAATACAGAAAATGTGCAGAGCCTCAGGCAGATGAGAGTTAAAAGTCACAAATGCAAGTGTTTGAGAAAAAATTATAAAGGAAAACATAACAAAACTAGAAAAGCAGACCTCTGCCAAGGCAGCAATTGTTGATTGTTATTGATTATTGAGCCAGACCACCACCAAAGACTAATCATTGTCCTCTTTGGCCTACTTCTGACAGTTCCTGAAAATTTCAGCAAAATCGGTCCATAACTTTTGAGTTATGTTGATGACAGACAAACAGGGGTGAAAATATAACCTCTTTGGCAGAGCCTGAGGTAAATATAATTCCAATGAAGCTGCTATTCAAACTTTTAATCTTTGAGTTTGATATATATATAATTATCTGCATAATTTACCTGCATAATTATCACTGCTTCCTTATTATTAATCTAGCAGAGACATTAACCTTTGACAGTTTACAGGGAAATATCAACAAGTGTGCTTTATGTAATCTCAATTAATGGCCTATTAATTAGGCAAATGATTTTATAACTCAGAACTTAGCTAAGTGATACCCAAGGGAAATTTATATACTGACCCTCTCAAAGGTCTTTCAGGCCCATAAGTCACATCTTAAGAAAAGCACAAAACAATAATGCACAAAATAGGACACAACCAATTCTGATGCAATAATACATTATGTTTAACTGCACAGTCAACATCAAATTTTAATTATGCACAACAGGTAACACCGACAAAAGTAAAAGCATAAGGCTTCAGGCCCATCAAAGTTCAAGTTTATACTTAGAAAGTGCCAGAATGAGAAAAATGAAATTTTCACACAAAATTGCATAAATTCGATAATAAATGATAACCCAATTGACCTGGCTTTCTAATTTGAACTGCATGCCAATCCTAAAAATCATACTTGTAAGTTAAAAATAATAATAATTTACACAGTTTTCTTTTCATAATGTTTGCAGTAGCAGTGCAAAAAAATTGTTGTCAATTTTGATGTACCATTACATAATAAATTACAGAATAATTATCACCAATTTTTGATTATTGACTATAAATAGCATGGACATGTAGAAAATTTGATTACCATTCGACTTCATGTCTATGGGAGCTCCGAGTCCCACAATGAATATGCCAAAGAGATAATAAATATTTCACTCAAATGTATAACTTCCAGAAAAAGAAGCCAATAAGACTGCTTTTCCAACTCAGGCTGCATTTTAGTCCAGTGTTCCTTTTTTAAAGGTTTGACAGTCATAAGTAACACGGTTTTCCCATAATGGTCATCATGGCAGCAGCACCAAAAATTGTGTTTTCTTCTATTTTGATGCAACATTACATAATGCTTAACAGCATAATGACCATCAATTTTTAATCATAAAATATTAGTATCATGGATATTCAGAAAATGAGACTAGCAAAGGTCTGCAGGCTCATGGAACTTCAAAGTCACATCTTAAAAATGCCAAAATGTAAACAAGTCAGAACTGTTCTGAAATGGGTTTATTTCCATTTTTAACACTTTTTTAACATAAAACAAAATAAACAGTTTACTGCCATTTTTATATGACCAACTAATAAAATTGATGAGATGGGGAAAATATCAATATAACAGTGTTAAATGTCCAATTCCCTCCTTTCTGAGATTCTGAATATAGTGAATGATTGAATCTAACAAACTGCAATGATATGAGTTTATTTCCATTTTTGACACTTTATTACACAATACACGATAACAAGTTTACCATCATTTTTACATAATCAACTAACAATGTTGTAAAGATGCAGGAAATATCAAACAAACACTTTTACGTATCTTATTAGTAAAATAATGAGACTGTTAACATGCCTAAGAATTGAATCAAGAGGAAATGTGAAAAAACAGCACAGCTTCTAAAATAATGGCCCAATTATGCTGATTTTCGAACTCAACCTGCGTTTTAGTAAGATTGACCACTCCTGTGAGTATAATGACAATTGACCAATCTGTTTTTCTTATATTGTGTTATCAGTGTTGCATATATGTTGAAAAAAGTGAAAAGACAGCATAACTCCCCTAAAAATGGCCTGATCATGCTGATTTTCGAACTTGACCTGCGGATTATGATGATTCATCAGTTTTGTAAGTTTCAAGCCAAAAAGTAAAATGGTTTTCCACTTAACATGTTATCGGTGCTGCATATATGCTGAAAAAAGTGAAAAAACAGCATAACTTCCCTACAAGTCACCCGATCATGCTGATTTTCGAACTTGACCTGCGTATTATGAATATTCATCAATTCTGTAAGTTTCAAGCTGAAATAAAAAACAGTTTTCCACTTATCGTGTTATCGGTAAAAGTGCACGACGGCGATGACGGCGACGACAGACACAGATGATGGCTATATGTACAGACACATCTGTGTCTGTACATAAAAATGATCAAATACAAACTATTGTTTTTACTGGTACTGCTCTGTACGGTACTATATGTAGTTTGAATATTGTTTTTACTGGCATATATACATGTAGTACATATAGTTTACAAACAACAACAGTGAATGTGAAATTAGCTGATTAGTAAAAAACTAAAATAACAATAAAAAACACTGAAGGGTATGGCAGGGGCAACTAGGAATTTTGAAGAATTCTATACTTTTTGTCTAAAGTGACTAAAGTTCAATTTGACATGGAGTGTTACCGAAGAGTCGATCAACCTATCTTAAATGTTATCCATATTCAGACAAAATTTCAGAAAATTAATAATTAATTATAATAAAATTGAGTACTACATGTACATGTAGGTGCAGAAGCATGTTCAGTAACTATTTGGAGCCGAATCTACATGCATAACAATATTACCTTTATATGTAACTGGTATGGTTCCTGCAAGACACAGCAGCTCTTTTCTGTTTCCATCATTAAAGACTACAAAAAAATAAAACAAATAAAATTTTGTAGCATGGACTAACACAAATACTCCCTCTCCAAAACTGGTTAATACATAAAGTCAACAATTAAAGTTCATGTTATAAAAACTCATATATCAGTCTCGAAAATCCTTACCAAAGCTGTCAACATTAGGTCTCAAATCCTTAAAATGTGAGAATGCTTGCAAAATGTCCCTTTGTGCTAGGTCTGGATATTGGTACTAGAACAAAAAGTATATGGCATCATATAACATTATAAGCACCTACATGTATAATTATCTGACACATTTCAATTTAACAATTACAGTACAGTCAAACATGTACATGTACTGTACTATCACATACAACAAAAAACTCATTAACTGACTTAACTTAAGGCAGTAATGCTAATGGGCCATGGCCATTCCACAATATTTCTCCTGTCTGCAAATCTTTAAAACTCCTATACAAAAGCTCAATATAGCAAAAGAGATGTTTGTAATAGAAAACAAAGTATTAAAAAAAGTACAATGTATATATTTAATAAAATGCAGTATAAACATGTATCTATCATGTGATGTATTAACACCTGGGTGACCTCTAAACTTTTATGAGACACAAATATATACTAACTTTGGAAAGAGCATTCCTGAGATAAGCATCGTTTCCCTGGGATCCTGCCATTTCTGAAGCACTATACATGTAGTATGACCTGCTAAATGTAAGAACTCTGCTTAAAATGATGTGTCAAAACACCGTCAACGTTTTCTATGTGAATCAATAACGTCGACAAGAACAATCCACGTCACTGACGTCAGATAAAAATGACGAATCATTCCTGTTAGTGGCAATTTCCCCCTGAGTAGACTCTCTATTGTCAAAACCACTATAGTGTCCGTAAGTTCATTAGTCTGAATGCAATCTTATTTATATCGAATACTAAAACTGTTTAAGATTCGCAAAACCTACCTAGTTTATGTTCCAACCTAATGGAGAGAAAACTTAAATCCGTAAAACAATTAAACAACCAACACTGCGATTTACGTTTCTGGCAAACTTCCCCGAAAAAAGTACCTGCTCAGCCTGTTTGATAGGGGAATTCCCAACATTCCAATGACGTTAAGTTAGTGAACTTCCAATGCGAACTTGTCTTTGGACATGTTTTGAAAAAATAACCAATGTACATGCCCATGTTAAAAAAGAATATAACCGAAAAACTTGACATAAATCAAACAGACGGAACGGAACCAATTTAACAACCCAATAGTCTTCCACACCACTTTCGCTTTTTTTGTAAAATCCCGCCCTTTGCGTGTGTACAATGAAAAGACATCATTGGTCAAAAATAACTGATACGAAGTAATAAAAACAAAATGGTGGCTGTATATTCTCCTGGTATGACAAGTGAGTGGATTTAAATATTCTCATTTACAAATAAATTTTATTGCATGTATTTATTTAGAAACCAGCTCAGCAGTTATTATTGACCAATAGTAGTCGTCGGAGCTTACATGCCCGTATTATTAACAAGATGGAAGGCAGGTGAGAAAACAACATAATCGCAATATTATATAAATGTTTCAGGAAACGGGGGGGTACGATTAAGAAAATTGAAATGCATATGGAAAGGAGAATCCTTTACAGTTTCCCTGAGTAATAGAGGGGACAATTCGATTACACGAGAAAGTTTAGAATAATGGTGGAACAAAGAATACAGACCGAATATAGGAGGGTCCTACGAAAATACGAAAACTGCGAAAACCGCGAAAACCAGAAGTTGCTAGGCGAAAACCTCACTATAACTTACCAATTCTCGATGTTCTTGACAAGTTGCTGTAATATTTGGATAACTTGGACCATATTACATACATCATGACCTTTGATAACGATGTTGTAATGAATTGAGTATGTTACAGCTGAGTTTTCTAGATCGGCAACCATAGTGCGTGGGAGCCATGTTTGGTTTACAATTGGCATATATAAACAGCAGTGTCCCCTCAGGCCAGTATTGCCATATCAGGCCAGTATTGCCCTCTCAGGTTAGTAATGCTTTTCCAGGCAAGTAATACTCTCTCAAGTACTATATGAAGTGGATAACACAGATTACCTGCATTCTTAGTAATGCAAAGTTTATTAATAAATAGGATTTAATANTGCATTGAACGATTTGGATGTGTTTATTCTCAGAACTCGCTAGTCCGAAATGCAGACTGCATACACAGCACAAATTGCGTTTTCTTAAAAGAATTTTTGTATCTTTCTGATTACCATTGGGATTTACTACCTACTGAATTCATGTCATTGTTTATATGTTATGATTGGATCAGTCCAATAAGTATTGTGGTTAGGAGGGTTAAGTTGACAATGGCTAACTGTTATCCACAGGTGTAAAAGAAATGACTGAAATGCATATATTAAATTTGGTGTAAAATGGTTCAAATTTTTTGAAGACCTGGGATTTCTTTCACACAAACAAGTTAACAAGGTAACAAACAGAAAAGCATTTTTTGAGACACACGTTATAAATACTTATTTCATCAAGTTAAAGATGCATCTAAAAATGCATATTCATCATATATTCTAATATCATAAAACAGCCAGAAGGCCAAGCACACAGTTGGGTAGAATTCTTAAAGGAAAAAAACATACAGTCTGTGTATTCTGAAAATTCAACACCTATGGGATCTTTAATTAACTGATGGTCATTATGATTGCATACTTTTCACAAACAAATGCACCCTTGGATTCTAATTAAAATCAATTAATTAGATTCTGTTAATTTTAAGTGCTCTCTGACCTTTTTTTTAATGAATTAACACAATCTATATACATCCATTTGAAAGAAACAGAAAATTGAAAAATTGAAAAATTAAGTGATATTAAACATAATCCCCATCAATTTTTATTTATCTACTTTAAGTAATACTGTTTATTGTAACTGCTCTCTGACTTTTTTTAACGAATTAACACAATATTAAATATATACATCCATTTGAAATTCCACCCTAAACTGCATAACTTTCAGACAAAAAATAATAAATAAATAAATAAATAATGAGGTACAAGATAGAAAATATCAATGCTGATGCAATAATACATTTTGCTCGACAGCAGAGTCAGCAACAAATATCACATGGCTTCAGGCCCATTAATTCAAATTCTCAGCTCTGTTTGAAAATGACAAAATGTGTAAAAAATTCACCAAGAAATTGCAAAAATTCATGGAAAATAAGTAGCAGTGAACTTAAATTTGTTGACACTGACAGCTAGATGGACTTAATTAGTGACAGCTAAGACTGCAGCTGTAACTAGTTAAGTCTTGATCATTTCTTGATCATTATTGATTTAGCACTTACCTGAGGGCACAGAGCCACAGAAGCATACCATTAATGTAAACCAGATCCTAATGAGTGTAATGTCAAATGAACCTACAAGTTCTTTGATAAAACTGTTATTAATATTAATATAAAATATACTACAATTTAATATACAATTTAATATACTATTTTTAAAAATAAAAAGCACGCAAGTCCACGGGTCAGTATTAACAATGCACTGTAGTTGTCTCAGAATAAGACTTAATTTAAAAAATAAATTACCAGTGCACAAATTGACTAAATATGTATTGATAACTGTTTTGGTAAAATGGAATTTGGTATGTAGAGAGCCTTTATTTTAACATGATTTGAACAAACAAAAACAACTTTTTTATGATGAAAAACATTTAATGATTCAATATTTCTTTTATAAAGTTTAATGCAAATACAAAGTTCTTACAACTTCATGTACAGTTAGAAGGAATTTTTCTCATGCACAAATAACACATTCACAAATAAAGCATTAATTAACTTAAAGTTGGCACAATGTTGTAAATGTTACTTGATAAATGTTTGTTAGTTTCTTATATGTATGTATTAAGTAAGCAGAAAATATTGTGCTGTTATCCACATTCATATGCCTGAGAGAGCATTACTGGCATGAGAGGGCAATACTGGCCTGATATGGCAATACTGGCCTGAGGGGACACTGCTGTTTATATATGCCAATTGTAAACCAAACATGGCTCCCACGCACTATAGTTGCCGATCTAGAAAACTCAGCTGTAACATACTCAATTCATTACAACATCGTTATCAAAGGTCATGATGTATGTAATATGGTCCAAGTTATCCAAATATTACAGCAATTTGTCGAGAACATCGAGAATTGGTAAGTTATAGTGTGGTTTTCGCCTAGCAACTTCTGGTTTTCGCGGTTTTCGTATTTTCGTAGGACCGAATATAGACGTGTCTCGATCCATCAATAGACGACCAAAGACGTTGAATTCTTGTCGTTTCAGCTGCTTGTTTCAGCCGCTTTCTTCTCTCTTTTTGTGCCTGGAATGAAATTCTCCGGCAAAAATAGAAATTGGAATTGGAGACTGTTATGTCTTGTTTAAGAGCAACTCGTTGGCACGTACAGACAACTGCCACATTGCACTGTTGAAATTAGTCAAACCAGTTGGCTTGAGAATGCTACAATTCTTTCAACCAAAGATAGATATTTTTTGACTCTACAAAAATGGATGCATCTACAAAGAGCAGAGTGCATGTTCAACTTCTCAGATGAACAGGCAAACTACTTTTAATGTAAAGGTTCTTTTGATGGAAAAATATGGTCAAAGACAAACCTTTGCTAAATTAAATCTATTTTCAAGCGGCAGATTTTGAAATTGTAAGCATGTGATGTGTGTAATGCCTTAAATATACTAAGGAATTTCAATTTTTTTCTTAGAAATAAATCTTATTATTGTCTCCTTTATCTTATGAAATGCAACTTTGTTTTGGAAAAGCTGATGTCTGTTTATAACAATGAAAAATAATATTGATTGTTATTTTGTATACGTACCCCTAGTTGACTTCTCAGCTTCAGAGGTTATATAGGCCAGTTTCCTCATCTTATACTATTTCTCCTGAGGTGCTCCTTGTTGTGTGTGAAATTCATTTTTTTATTGAACTTTATCTTACTTGTCACAAATTTTAGAAGGCCCAGGGCGGGATTTTATCTGCCTCACTTGTCTTTGTACTCTGTATGAGACCAGAAAATCAGTAAGACTTGATTCATATACTTGTTATTGTGCATATACTTCAAATTTACCACTGATGACGAGTCAATGATAATTGTGCACTTCTAGAGATTTTAGAATTAATCTATATAATACACTGGGCCTGAAGATGGGGATTAGTTGACTGTACCAGTGCCAGTAACAAGATTTCAGCAATTTTTACATATGTCAGATCCTCCCAGGAAATTCTTCTGGAAACAAATAAACTCAACTAAGTCAACAGAGCTATTTAGAATATGCAAATGTGTGCATGAATAAATGATTTAATGTAATCACATGTTCAGATATGTTTTAATGGAGGAGGAGCAGCACAAATACATTGGAACCTATGATATTGATTAATCTTTAAAAGCTACAAGTTGCTTAAATGAACAATTAAATGTATTACAATTCACAGATTCTGAGAAGTCACAATTCTGGTATAATGACATAAAAGGGCAACTTTGTCATTTTCATTTATTATTGAGTAATTTATTGACATTGTTTATTTTTAGTATGTTGAATCTGCAGTAAAAGGAGAAGTTTCATTTTATCCGGAGAAGATATATTAATACATTAAGCATTGGAGTAGACAGTAGTCAATCATGCAGTAAGTGTTAATCAAACCTTGAACAACTAAGAAAGAGCTGATTTCATTCTGGAAAATGCATTTCATGTCTTTACTATCCATAATGACTAAGTATACCACTGATAACATAGAATATTAAAATCCATTTTCTAAGCCACAGATTTTCTGTAACTGCATATTATAATGGCCATTGATAAAAGTATATCATTCTATTAAAAAATAAACTAGTGTCTAAAAAAAAATTATGCAATGTGAGAAATATCTTTCATATTATCTATCACTTGAATTATAAAAAGAATTGAGATGGTTGCTCCTCTTAAATGCTTCAGTATTACCATTTCAGAAATGTTGCATTTGATTGTTGAATTATTAAGGAGTTAATGGTATATGTGAGAATTAACTGAGAGCAGGCATGCAGGTTTTTTCTCTGAAATATTAAAGATGTGTGTGTATAAGCTCAATTTTACATTTTTTGCCTGGTCAGGTGTGTCTTAAGCAATTGTAAATTTTTTATTTTCTGTAAAGAATCAAATCAAATTGTTTTTAATTTTCATAAGCTATTGACTACGTTTTTGTTTTGAAAAAAATGTTTTCTCATACAAAAAATGCAATTTGACATTTATTTTGTAAGACTGGTATTGGCAATTTTAATCACATGGAATTAAATGCTTTGAAATATAGACTGCAGTCATAATATTAATGTACAAATTGTTGCTATTTTAGGGAAAACTTGTAAGAATGTGATTGATGAGGAAATTTTTTTTCAAAAAAGTAATGTCTTGCTGTTATTTATATCCAAAATGTGTACCATAAGATTTCTTCAAAATGTAAGTTTTGAGTAGAATGTGGAATTGGTATTTCTTGTCATTTTACTTTTTGAAACTATATGGTTGCATTCAGTTGGTTTTTGTGTCAAAAATTTGACATCACATGCATCTATAATGTTAAACCTATTTTTTGCATCATTATTTGCTTTTATGTCTGTGCATTTAACAGCTTTTCTGCCCTGTTTTATAATTTTCCCAGAGGTCAGCAGGGTTACTCTGGTCCTTCTTATGTCTGTACTTATGACAGCTTTTCTGCCTTGTTTTATAATTTTCCCAGAGGTCAGCAGGGTTACTCTGGTCCTTCTTATGACCGCTGGGTGGAGAGGACGGACAACTCCACCTTCCAGAGGATGAAGGAGACGTACTGGACCACTAAACAGGCCGTGAAGAGGAAACTGGGGAAGAAGGAAGATGAACACATTGTGGCTTCAGATGCCGAGCTTGATGCTAAATTAGAGGTGAAAATTTTAAGATTTAAAAAATTTAGCTTACAGAATGTAAAACTAGGTGGTAAACTAAGAAAACAAATTATTTTTTAAGTTTGAAATGCAAAAGTTTGCATAAAGGAGGAATTAGATACTGTACTTTATATTGAGGTTTACTTTTCTGCGTGAGAAGATTTAAATGCTAAATATTACTGTTAAATTTATACTTATCTTTATTCAGGTCTTCAAAGCAGTTCAGCATTCCTGTATGGAGCTACTGAGAGTGTTGGAGAAATATCAAGACAGATTATGTAGTATGTATGCCTGTTTAAAGAAACTGGTACTTGATATCTAAATCATAGAGAAAGCATTTGCAAAGACGTCAAAATGTTTTTGTTCATTTGACAGTTACATGAAAATAAAATTTGTTCATTTGACAAGTTCATGAACAATTAAGTGATTGGAGAAGATCCTGTGATTTCAAATTCTGATTGTGTTGCAAAAGTCATCTTCAACCCAATGATTTATCACTGGAATATCTAGTAGCTTTACAGAGAAGAAGATGAATTTCAATAAGTGTTGCCATCTGTCTAGAGAAAATATTTGACATGTGTCTCTTTTATAGCATTATCCCAGGAGGAAAGTGCAACTGGGAGGTTCCTGAAGAATGAGAGTGGTAAGGACAAGACCAGGGCTGGCAAGATGATGGCTGCCGTTGGGAAATCTCTCAGCTTTTCTTCACAACAAAGGTAACTTACATTCACCTTATTGGGTTTTCATTGTGGCAACAGCTCACAGTCCATTAAACAAAAATTATGTTGTTCTAGCACAGTTTCCTAAATTACATATTGGGCATGTTTTTATTTATTTTATTTATTTTTTTTTTCTGAATATTGAATTGAGCATTACTTTTACTGATACAGAAAACGGAATTGCTTGAAAAGCCCGAGTATGGCAGTAGAAAATGTAATCATTCAACAAAACATTCCAGGTTATCTTTGCGCCCATCTTTGGTGCGACTGTACCAAGAGGTGGAGACCTTTCGTTACCGCGCCATATCAGACACCCTCGTCACCATCAACAGAATGGAGGCTGCCAGGACGGAGTACAGGGGTGCCCTCATGTGGATGAAAGATGTATCAGAAAACCTGGACCCTGATACATATAAGCAACTGGAAAAGTTTAGAAAGGTGTGTTTTACAAGAGATTTTAGGTTTGGCTTACAAATTTAGTTATGACATTTTTCCATACAAGATAACCTTTAGATATAGAATTATGTATATTTTGAATGCTGGTTTTATAACCTTTAGATATAGAATTATGTATATTTTGAATGCTGGTTTTATATTTTTTGGATCTTCGAATTTTAAATTGGCAGGAAAAGGACTTGGGATTAATTTATGATTTTCATCACACTCTGGTGGCAATTTTTCCCCTCCCCCCCTTTCAGATGTTTTTTATGACTGTTATCTTTATTATTGTGCAACCTCTTATCTTAGGTGCAAGCTCAAGTGAGGAAAACTAAGGCCAAGTTTGACCGTCTGAAGGTGGACGTGATGCAGAAGGTGGACCTTCTGGCGGCCAGTCGGTGCAATATGTTCTCCCATGTGTTAGCCAACTACCAGTCCACACTGTTGACTTTTTGGGACAAAACTGCCAGAACCATGACAGCAGTGGCTGAGAGTTTCAAAGGATATCAATATTATGAATTTAGTATGCTAAAGGTACTGTAGCCTGCTGGATGGCAGTGCTTTAAAGGATCCATGCTTTTGGTCACTCGTGCATTATTATTTAATTTAGGTCTAAATCAAGTAATGTCTTGTACCAAGTTAATGACAGAGCTCACAGTTTCTGTAGCAGTAGTGTGTGTTATTGTGCAGTTTATATTTAGTTTAACTTATATGGTCTATGTATCACTGAAGAGTTATCTATTACTGAATTTAGTCACTGTATATATTTTCTAGCATATGGAAATTGCTACATCTAGAATGCCATTAAGCCATTTTATGATCTGCCTGTTTTCAGGAACTGACGGAAACTAGTAAAAAGCTTGCTGATGAAACTAATAACATGGAGGCTGCAGACAGAGACATTGATGAGTGGATCAAGAAAGAGGGGTAAATGATTCTCATCATCTCATATTAAGATTTATTTTCATTTGTTGTTGACTACACACTTGTGTCGAACTAGTAGCTTTTGAAACCTGTGATTATTTCAATTGTCATCCATTCTAGTTAGTTTATATTGATTTAAATGTCTGTTTTGTGTTTTTTGTAAGCATTTTGAATTTTAATAGTGGTAACTGCTAGTAAATTTTATTGTTGTTATTGTTTGATCAACATTATGTGTGCATTTTCCGTAGAGAATCCTTGGCACTTCATCTTATTTCCTACTAACACTAGTGAAGCATGGTAACCCTGCTTGCTGTTTTTGCTGTGTAGATTCTTGTTGTGGAAGAGCTTTTAGTTTAGTTGCTGTGGCTGGTAAAGGTAAGGGTGTTTTCTGTCACAGAAATTGATAATGCAGGGATGGGGATTTAAATCCTTTTCATGTGTTAAGAAAGTTACAAAGTATTTTTATGATGTTTGTTCCAAAATGGGAATTGGATTTTAAGTAAATGTGTGTGTGCATGCTTGAGTGAATGAGTGAATGAGTGAGTGATGGGGGGGGGGTCCTTTTATCAAAATAATTTTGATTCCCCTCTGTAATGGCTTAACAATAAAATCCATCAGTAGCAGGTAGAGCTCTTGGGATGAGTTTTTCCTTGAATATTTACTCATGGCCTTTACTTTTTGGTGCTGGGAAATAGAATTGCCTTAAGCTTTCAAAGGGGTAGGTGTGTGACAACTATCTGGGCAACAGCAGTCTGATATAATCCTAGTCTGTGTCTGCAAAGGTTGGCTTCAGCTTATGCTACATATACCATGGAGTGTGGTTTGGTATGGCCTATATTAGAGAGTGGAAAGTTGTGTTGTCTCTTCAGTCACCATGAATTAATACCCTGAATTATGTGAAATTAACAGTAACACAGAACTAACACATGGGAAGCATTCTGGGGGTAACAGAAAGGCCACTGCTCGTCATGGCACTGGTGGAAGTAAGCACTCCAGAACTGTGGACCGCCAGAAACCTGGTATAACTTCTGAAACTGATCTTGCCCAAGTTACTGCTGCCACTAACACCTCAGATAATGAGGAAGAGGCCACTGATGATACTACTAACAATACGACTCAACAGAGGTATGACTTTGTTTCTTTTTCATTTCATTGCTAACATAACCCTGGTTTGGTCCTGTGTTGACTTAAGTGACACCTTTTGGTGATAAATATTTTGGTAAATGTTCTCTTTTAAAGTGATGATGAGGAATTAGAGCTGACTTGGAAAAATCCAATCCCTGAGGAAATTGAACAAAAGAAAGATTTCACAAATCCAGAGACAGATGACTCTCAGTTAATAGATCTTGGTGATTTTTCAATCAGTGCAAATGATAGAGACTTATTAGATAATCAGAATCAAGTTGCTATGAATTCAGAACAATCAGACCAAACAAGAGAAAAGCAAAGGTAGGTGGTAAAGAATTAAATAGTTATGTTTATTTAGTGTGCATTTTTTTCATTGTTGTATCGTAATGCTTAAAATAAATCCCTGGACCTGTGATGTATGGCTTCTGTTTTAAACTGGTTTAGTTAATTTGCATGTATGTGATGTCTTGCAAATTGAATGAAATAACTTGCTGCTGCATGTTAATGAGAAGAAGCACCAAATGTCTTATACTGGTTTTGATTAAATTTTTCATTGAACAGATGATTTAATCTTTTTTATGATCAAGTTACATGCTGTGGTAATTATTTGGAACTTCATGTTAAATTCAGGAATTTGCTTGTTAAAAGTGGTGGACAATATTATTAAGTTTAGAAAATACTGGAAAAAGTGCACAACATAAAGACAGATATTATACCATCCTATAGGATGTGTGCAAAACAAGTTGGGAAAAAAAAACAAACAAATAGAAAGATAGAAAAAGAAAGAGCCTCAATTTCTTAGTTTGAATTCTAGATGTCTCACAGTTCTGCTTTATATTTCCCCTAGTTTAATAGACTTTCAAGATGAAGTAGAAGAGGCTATAGAGAGTAAAGTATACAGAGATGATCCTGACAGTCCAGAACAACCACCACCCCCTGAAGAGAGGGGCAAGCTAGAAATGTCAGCTTTACCGAGACTACCAGGTAAGAGTCAGATCTTTTACATATTTATTTCCTAGTCTGTTGAAAGGTGAGATCTTTTCAGGAGGAGACAGATACATGATGACCCAAAACTGAAATGGATTGGTTTTGTTTTATTGAGGATATCAGGCTCTAGAAGTAATATTAATCTTTATCAATTTACAATGGTTGAATATGCCAGTATTTTTTCAATTCGGTCGGGCAAGAGCAGTGAGGTCAAATGAATCAGTAGTAATATAGTAGTAAGTTTGCCATGTCTGACAACAGGATTTATACAGTGGAAAATGTGAAAGATACAATGACGAAAAAAAAATATATATATATATAATATATAAGTTAAAAATATATAAGTTGCCTGAATGAAAAAGTTCTTCATGATATCACTGGTACTAGTTTTATGGCAGAAATAGTTAAAGCTAAAATGATGTATATTTTAAAATAGACCAATAATATCAATTACATTTATTTAGCTAAAATAAGGAAAGCAGCGGGAGGAAGTGGCGATGAATCTCATGCCCAGACAGTGGAAGAAAATCAAAATGGCAAAGAACAGGATAACATTATAGACTTTGGTGAAGAAGAAGAGACAGCTGAAGAGTTTGACTACAGTGGAAAACTTATACAGTCTTCACAGAAACCACAAGTCCAAAAAGGTGGGTGAGATTTTAGGATTTTTGTCTACATGAATTATTTTATGAATTGTTTTTAAGTAATATTTTAAACCTGAGAAAAATGTTAAATTGGGGTGATAGTTTAAAAGATGGAGATAGAAATTCATAAACGTTTAAAAGGTGGAGATAGAAATTCATAAACGTTATCACCATGGCTCTTAAAGGTGATAATAATAATAATTGTACCACCAGCGTAGGCGCTGGCGGTACTCATGGTTTTAGTCCCGACCCGTATGTTCCGCTCCGCCGCCAAGTCACCGTTACCGCTTCTCCTCCTAGACGGTAAGGGCCTCCATACCCATCTCTTGGATTTAGGTCACCTATAATCTCAACTCGTTCCACGTAAAATTTGGGCTTTGTCGGTATTGGGGTCTAGGTGTGGCACTCATTGCAATGCACCCTTGTCCAAAAATGGCAAAATTAAATGCTAATTATCTCCCCTACGGAAGGAATTATGGGAAAAATTTCTACAGACAGCTTTCCAAAAGTCATATGTGTAGATTTCAAATATGCCCTTGGATTTGACCTTTGACCTTTATTTCAAGGTCAAACGGGCCAAAATTTTCAAAAAAACAAAATTTTTGCCGAAAAAAAA